TTTTTTTTTTCTCACAACATTTGTAAAAAAAAAAAAAAAAAGGGAGAGCTTTAGGTAATGTATGAACTGAAGTTAAATTAAATTTGTTAGCATTTAAAAGTACATAAACAAGCTTTTAAATATTGTATAATTTCTGTTCAAATCATTTGTAGATTTGAGAAGTGCATGAGTGTATGAATTGAGTTGAATTACATTTGTAAGCTTTAACTAATGATCCGTTAAGCATTATATAATATTTGTTAATGATTTAATGATGAAGCTTTTACTCATTTGTAAACTGTCAAAATCATTTGAAGATTTTTAAAAAGTACATGATCATATGAATTGAAAGTTTAATGACATTTGTAAGCACTTCAATTTACATTAAATAATGATCTGTTAATCATTAGGTAATATTTAATAAGTATATTAGTAAACATTAACAAGCACTTTCTCTTATTTCTAGCTATGTGAATATTTATTAAATGATCTGTTAATCATTGAAAAATGTTTGTTGATGGTTTATAAATGAAAGTTATTATAAAGTTTTACCTTATTTTTAAACAACACACTACTTATGTTTTAAATTAGGAACAGTTCAGAAATCAGTATTTGGTGGAATACTTGTACTTGCCTTATGTGGTTTGATTTCATGTGCCCCTCACAAAGACGAATGGGTGTGATTCCAGCCTTGCTGAAGCACCCCTTAGATCATCACGATCCTCCACCAAATTTCACAGTGGGTGCGAGACACTGTGGCTTGTAGGCCTCTCCAGGTCTCCGTCTAACCATTAGACCAGTGGTTCTCAACTTTTTTTTACTCCAAGGCCCACCGAATCAATACTGCAAGCCCCCCCAACCTTTTCTATTCACAAAAATCTTTGAATTCTAGTGTTATTACTTTTCAACTCTATGTAATTACTTTTAAACAAAACTAATCCAGGATAGATTTAAACATGGAGTGTTCTTTTTTGCAAACATACTTCGAAAAAATTACATATGTAGATATTCTTTACAACTAAATTACTCAAGTACGTAAAACTCAGTTATACAGTAACTTTAACAAATAAGCACAAGTCACCCTGCCATATCAAACAAGACCACAGGGAGATGCCAAAGGACTGCATACAAACTACTATAAAGATCCATTCAGAATCGCTAAACACACAAATACATATGAAAAATTGAAACATTCTGATGAAATTGGGGGGGGGAACCTTCTGAGTGTGGAAACTCGGCGATCTGAACACTCGCCTAATGTACGACTCCTGTATGTCACTATAATCATCTTTACCTTAATTACAATAGTCATCCATCAAAACGTTACTATTGCGACACTGGCTTGCTTTATCCAGCCGAGAGCTGTTGTTTGTGTATCATATGCTCATTCAGCGGTCCAGTGTTTTGAGCCGCCGTTCAGGCTGTATTTCACACAGCGCGATGAGAAACGGCTTGAGCTGCTCCGAAACACAGAATATCACGGAATACGTACAAGATTGAAAACCCTTTTTTTTTTTATATTTAACATATTAATAATAAAATTAGTGAATTGAATATAATTGAATTTGAATTTAATTTATAATTTAATCTCACATCCCACCAAGGAGGATCGCTGAGTCCCCCACCCATCCCCGGTTCTTGCTATAAAATTTAAGCAGCTACAAATGGAACCTTCGGTCAGCATTTTGTCAGTTGCTGAATTGACAACGTTTTATAAAGGTCTAAGAATGTATTTATATGTAAATTTTTAGGAATGTGCATCATGTGTTCTTGTATAACTAGCATTGGTGTCTCTCAACAAACTCTTATTTATGTTTATCTTATTGTCTCAGGTGGAAAGAGCAGTGGGATATTTGGGGACCCAGAGGCTTCTTCGACTCGGAACAGGCCTGTTCCCCCTGGTGGAGCCTCCAGTAACATCTTTGGGGGTGCAGAGTCGACCCCACCTTCTGTGAAAAGTCAGCATCCCAACAAACCAAAGGTAGACCAAACCCATTAGCCTACTACTCCTTGTATATATGTATTTTTTTCTGGAGCAGCAAATCAGCATATTAGAATGATTTCTAAAGGGTCATGTGACACTGAAGACTGGAGTAATGATGCTGAAAATTCAGCTTTGCCATCACAGGAATAAATTACGTTTTAAAATATATTAAATAGAAAGTTATTTTAAATTGCAATATTTTAGAGTATTTTTTTTTGTTTGTTTTTTTTCTTTTCTGTTTCTGATCAAATAAATGCAACCTGGTTGAGTTTTTTCAAACACATTTAAAAAAAAAATGTACCAACCCTAAACTTTTGAATGGGAGTGTATGTGACTCAACACAAATTCATAATTATTTTTTATTATGCTTTCCATAAAATTCTTAAAATCTGAAAATGTCCACCCATTTCAACTCTAATGCCCTTTTATTCTCTGTAGGACAATTTAAGTGTGGGTGTACCTGCTACTCCAGATCCACCAGGTAAAGAAAACCTGTGATTTACCAAACATTAGTCATCTGTTCTTCATGCCCCAGTTTGTTTCTCCTCAGTGTTTATTGTTGGCAGGCAGTTCCCTTTCCCACCTTTTTTTTTCCTCTCACTTGCAGCCCCAGTGCCTAAGAAAAAGACTGCAGTTGAGGAAGTGAAGGTGGAGCCAGTGACCCCTCAACCAACACCTGAAAAAGAGCCAGCAGCCCCTGCACCTGCAGCCAATCAGAATTCTGAGGCAGCAATGTGGCAACCAACAGGAAAGGACCACGAGCCACGCCTCGGACCCCGCCCTCGCTCTCACAACAAAGTGCTCAACCCACCAGGTGGAAAGTCCAGTGTGGTTTTCTATTAGCCATAGCCATCATTGTCACTTCCTTTCTTCCATCTGCTTTTAACCTGTACTAAAACGTATCCTTTCTCATTTACTTAACTTTTGTTTTTGTTTTTTTCCCCTTAAGTCTGTCACTCTTCATTCCTTTTTTTGATTCTGCACTTTCTGATTCATTCCTCACTTTCCCTTTTCCTTTTCATCTAATTAGAATCACTGTTACTGTCGCTCCTAAAACTGAATGGCTGTTTCCTTTCAAATGTTTTGCATTGACGGTTGTTTCTCTATACGATTATGTTCTGTCAATTTGCTAATGTATTAAATACAAGTTTGCTTCATGAATCTCAAAAAAGTCTATGCAGTGTTCAACTGGTACCACTATTGGTCGCCAAAGCAAGCTCTTCAGTATCAGCGTATTCAGATCTCCCTTTGAAACCCAGTGAATGTGTTCTGATGGCAAATTCTTTTGTGCAATAAGGTGACTTCACTTCTCTTTTTTTTTTTTTTGTTTTTTTTTTTGATTTTTTTTTTTTTTTTGAGTAAGACCCAAAGCCAAATGTAAAAGTAGTAGTTTAGATGCCAAACCAAATGCGGTTTTTGTAACTGATAATCGCCAAAGCACATATGTATGACAATGATTAGAATATGTACAATCAAACATCTTTGACAATATCACACTATTAACATGTCCATACATGCATTTGAATGTAACCAGAGACCGTTAAACTAAGAGAATCATCTGATATGCCTGATTCTGTACTTGAAAAGAGTTGCTGCGCCATTGATTCTTTAATACTTCTGTTGAATTTGACCTTTCCTACCATTAGCCATCTGCTTTATTCTTTGCATGGCAGTTGGAAGGTCATATATGACAGGTCTGTGAATGTGTGTGGGCATTTCCCACATGACTAGTGCCGTCCCTGCCCAGAAATGCTAAAGTGGTTGCTTGGCAATGTGACTGGATACGATGATGTCACAGAGGCCCGTTTCATACAATACACCTCTGTATTGTTCATTTGTATGCTGTTTTATATTGCTTATTTTTTTCCATGACAATAAAAGGATGTTTTACCATGTTGCTTGAAATAAACAGAAATCTTCACTTAAAAACTTGTGCATGTGCTTGCTGAATTTTTAGGTTACTGTGTCAGGTTAATATTGTTCAAAGTAGGAGGTATCAATGATTCTTGAGTACAAAACCGACTACAGAAATGCAACTTAATTGGTTTATGTAACACTGAATTCATTTGGTTTCATGTTTTTGTGCAAGGTCTTCGTTTCATTTTTCACAGTATGTAATCATTGTCAGATACAAAATTAATTTATACTTGCCATTTAAAAATATTTATAAATATAAGGATATATTCAGGCCTACTTATTTCATAACAGGTGAAATATGGAAAGAGGACCTTCAGGATAGAAGCTGAATTTGATATTGCCTGAATTTTATTAAATTTTTATTTTTTATTGGTATGTGTAGCCTTATAAAAGGTATAGTTTTTTTTTTTTTTTTTTTTACTGTTTCGTGCAACAAATCGAACAACTAAACGTAACATGGAGAGCGACGCCTGTGTTTCGAGGGTCGCTCGGAGTTCCGTCTCTTGCTCCCACAAACACACACACAATCCATTCAAAACAAAAAGGTTTATTTTGGCGTTTTTAAGTTTCTTTCTCTCCATCAAGGGAAAGGTACATAGCTCAGGCTCAGTGGGTTAGTCGGCCCAAAACAACCAACAAAAAGGGATCCCTGGCTAGTTTTAAAATGGTCTTCCCTATACAAAAGAACAAAATAAAATTACAATTCTTACCTCCCTCCTAGCCAATAAACAGGACAAAAACGAATAGTAAAATAAAAAGTGGGCCTTCCACTACACACCACAGTCTGATTTAAAGGGTTAGTTCATCCCAAAATGAAAATTAGCCTGTGTGTTACTCACCCCCGATGCATCCTAGGTGTATATGACTTTCTTCTTTCAGGGGAATCCAGTCGGAGTTATATTAAAAATTGTCTTTGATCTTTCAAGCTCTACCCCAGTCAGCAAATTTCCTTTGGCGTGGATCTGGCCCATATCAACAGCTAAAGTGTGGCCCAGATTAGTTTGTGTTCGCCGGCCCAAAACTGGTCCACATATTTTTAGCCAGAACTGAACCTAAACAGTGCCATAACCCAACCCAGAGTGAGCCAAATAATAAAAACAGATGTGGCTGATATATGGACCTTATATAGTATTCTTATATGGCTGAGTTCTGTAAAGGGCTGACGGCCCTTATGTGGCCCACATGTGGCTGATAAACCAAATGCCATTATTTAACCATATTTACACCACACCTATTTTTTTTTTTTATACCCAAATGTTTATAGTAGAATTTTAGCAGAATTACAATACAGAACATAACAGAAGTGTGCTATTTTGCAAATGTCAGATGAGTGAATAAATGTACAAAATTGATCCTTTTAGTAAGTCTCGCCAGTCTTTCTCACTCACAGTTTGTCAGGAAAAAGAAAAGAAAAAAGAACATTAGTATATCATAATTCGTATCATAGATATTATTTCAAGACAAGCACATACATTACTGTAAATCAGCACTGCACACAATCTTTTCTACCACCCAAGACATGAGTGCCTTTTTAAATTAGGAAAATGGATATTTTTCTTACAAAAACGCATCGATTAGTTACAGGAGGCCTTTGTTCACCCCCCGGAGCTGTGTGAAACTTTTTTTATGGAAAGGTGCTTTTTATTTCACGTCTTTTGGACAGAAGCAATGCAACACCCGCTGAGTGCAAAGATAGAGCTTGAAAGATCAAAGACCATTTTTAATATAACTCCGACTGGATTCGTCTGAAAGAAGAAAGTCATATACACCTAGGATGCATCGGGGGTGAGTAAAACGCAGCCTAATTTTCATTTTGGGGTGAACTAACCCTTTAAAAAGGGTACACCACTGACACATTTACTTGTCCATGCCGCTAACAACTTTCTCCTCACGAGGAGGTTAACCGGACATCAGAGCACACAGCAAACCTGCTACAACACACAATATCTGGGGAGCACGTGCACACACGTTCAACAGCTCGAGGAAACGAGAGAAGGAACTCCAAAAGGTTTCTCACACAGCTTAAATCCACACGCTGATCCAGTTCGGCTCCGCCCACTAAACTGCTGCATCTGTTACACTCAAATGAGCGCAGAAGGACAGAGGAACATGGAGAGAGAACACTAACACATATGCACCAAGTCACTCAAGTCAACAATAAACACAAAAGTCACGTTCAAGTACGTAACAAACCCTCTGGTATTCCTCATTTAGGGGTCACACTTGTGATTCTCTGTAGTCAAATGAGACAAGAAGAATATTTTGAAACAAATGAAAGTACTGTTTTATTTGAATATTATTTGTTTTTTAATGTTTTGTATATTTTGTGGATTTCATGGTACTAGGCAATATTCACCTCTAAATTATGCACCATTTATTTCTATATCAAATAACAAATATTAGAAAAATATTTGTCTATTTGTAGTGTTTACAAAATTAGCGTGCTACAGAAGTCACCAGGTTTTGTACCATTCAATCATACATGATTGTGATAGTTTTATGAGTTTTGTTCAAAAATCAGTGGTCAGGTCAACACGTGTTACAGAAGTGCAAATGACAAAAGCTTGCTAAAAATGGCACAGGAATTTAATTCAAATGCACATTTTTGTTTCTTTGTCAATAAATTGTGCTGCAGACTGTCACATTGCCAATTGCGGTAATCGCAATCCCATTTGAAGACGCGTGGGGGCTAGAGACCAACATGATGCAATCTGGGATGGGTTTGGCAAGAACTTTTGCGGTCGGCTCTGAAAAATAGCCCCTGTGATGCCTTAACCCGATTATCTCCAACTGGTAAAGTGACCTTATAAGGCCATATATATATACCATATAAATATGTGTGGTTGCCTGGACCACTGATTTATCGGCTTCAATTTACACAGAGTGTTGACACCTCGTTAAAAAAAACTCATATTAAAAAAAAGCTCAAATCAAAGAAGGATGCTGTATTAATCAATGAGCCAATGTTTGCGTTTAATACTTGTTTACGGCATAGGATACATTAAATATAGCAATAAGTGTTGACACCTCGTTAAAAAAAACTCATATTAAAAAAAGCTCAAATCAAAGAAGGATGCTGTATTAATCAATGAGCCAATGTTTGCGTTTAATACTTGTTTACGGCATAGGATACATTAAATATAGCAATAACATAATTCATGTCGTTGATGGTGTTCCGTTGTAGGAGCACAGCAGCAGTCAGACATCATTATCCCGGCCTGCTCCATGCAGGCGCTGTGACGTCAGCTGGCCCCTCCATCGACGGAAACAGCGTCACGAACCCCCGCCGCCCTGTCAACCACCGGATTGATTTGTAATGCCAAAAATGACCAGTCTGACATAACGCTAGAAAAGCAATATCCGATTGACTATAACAACGAGAGCCCGCAGGCATATCGCACGGTAGCTATTTATTCCCGTATTTATTTATTTATATTCGTTTTTATCCCCTTCCATTGATTTTTCAGTAACGGCTGGGCTCGCGGGCTGCGGCTGCTGAGAGGCAGGTGCATCGTCAGACAGACGCTCGTTGGGCGTGATGTGATGGATTCCGCTCCAGTGCAGCGATGAGACGGACGCAACCGGAGAATCACCGAGTAGCAGCGAGGCGCGTGTGATCGAGCTGCCGACACTGTGGCGCAGGAGCACGGGCGGGCAAGAGGGCTCGGCCCCTCGCGAGCGCTCCGTCTGATCAACAAATATTGAATATTAAGCGCCCGTACGTCCCGAAACACGGCTGTTGCTGGTGGGATCGGGCCGTGGAGCGAAGTAGCATCATGTGCACCTGATGACATTGTCATGAATTCATAGAAGCCATTTCGCCATTTCGATTCGTGTCGCCGGTTTACTATTTATTCTTCCTCTAATAACGAGTTTCGATCAGACGCCGCCAGGATGATGGAGCTGGACGAGGTGGTGTACCAGGACGATTATGGGGCAGTGTCTGTCATGTCAGAGCGGGTGTCGGGCCTGGCCAGCGGCATTTACCGGGAGTTCGAGCGCCTCATCAAAAGCTACGATGAGGAGGTGTTGAAGGAGCTGATGCCGCTGGTGGTGAACGTCCTGGAGAACCTCGACTCGGTGTTAACGGAGAACCAGGAGCACGAGGTGGAGCTGGAACTTCTCAAGGAGGACAACGAGCAACTCATCACGCAGTATGAGCGGGAGAAAGCGCTGCGCAAACAGGCGGAGGAGGTAAACTATAATAATATTTTCATCTCATCACACATCCCATCATTCTCTTCATACAATGCCCTATTCAAACAAGAGCGTTTGTATTATTTGATCATAATGTGTCTGTGTAAACATTTACAAGAGCCCTGCAAACACTGACACTGGCTCTTTAACCCTGTAAAGCCTGGCATATGAAATAATAGTCAGAAAAATCTATTTTGTTGAAATGGAACAGTTTATAAAACCAAAAAAATCTAAAACCCAAAAACAAAAACAAATTTTTTTTTAAAGAGGCTTGCATACGTGTTTTATGTTCTGTATTTTTGTGTTTTATGTAGACTTTTATAGTGAGGATATGGAGCTCACTCTTAAAGGGGTCATATGATGCGATTTAAATTTTTTCTTTCTCTTTGGAGTGTTACAAGCTCTTGGTGCATAAAGAAGATCTGTAAAGTTGCAAAGACTAAAGTCTCAAATCCATATTATGAGATATATAGATATTCTTTATAAAAGTTAAGAGTCAACCACGCCTACCTAAAACGGCTCGTTCTAACACGCCCCCACATGTCTACCTCACTATGTGGGAAGATTTACATAACGCCGCCCAAATGTTCACGCAAAAAAAGAAGGCGTAACTTT